AATCCGCCCTCTGATGTCCTTTGGGAGCAGAGTTCTCGCTTTCTCAGGAGGAGGATTCAAAACCGGGTTGGCTTTCCTTCCACAATATGTGATAGGACCAACACTTCTCTAGATACCACGTAAATGATGTGGCAATAAATTTATTTCCCAAGAAAACTGGTTCAGAGTAGAATTCTTTTCAAAGCGTTCAGTAAATCAGTGTCCATAGTTTTCAAGGAACAGAGATAACTTTTGGTTTTCTTGAAGATGAAAAGAATAGCTAAAGAAGCTTTTGTTCTTTCCCAAAGAAAAAATGTACAGGATAAAAATCACATAAATGTGTGTTGGTTTGCCTAATTCATTAAAAGATATTCAAAAGCTAACAAGGATGTGAAATAGGACCTAGTAGGCTGATTGCCTAACAAAATTACCTAATTTCCCTCAGGCATATATTGCATGTAGGTTTATCTCATGGTCTACCAAAAAAAAAAAAAAATTATCAGAAGGTAGGTCACAGGGTAGCCAGAAAAGGTTCCATCTCTTTAGGGTCTCGGGAGGGCAGGGGTGGAGGAAGTGCCTTGCTTACCTCTGGCGTCGCACACACCAGTGCAGGCCTCACCGTGGCCCAGACAGGAAGCAGAGTCCCACAGCACTGATGAGCCGCCTTCCTGTCCTGATGATTGTTCTTGCTCAGAACTCCCAAGCCAGGAATGCCACCAGGGATTCACACTGCTAAAGACCCACATGTCACATCACAGCTTCTCTGCATGCCAGTGGTTCTAGAGCTACCGGTAAAGTTTTTTTCCTAACTAGGTATGTAAACAGTTAACTTTGTAGTAGTTCGGGCATAAGGGGGAATCTAAAGTCTATGGTAAATATTTCCTCAGATGCTTTAAAAATATGCAAACAAAAATTCATAGCATTTAAAGCTGGGTCCACCTTTGAAAAAAAAAATATTGTAATCTCCATATCAAAAGGAAACAAAAGCCAAGTTACCCGATTCAGAAGTTCATTTTTCCTCTCCCTGGACTTCCCATAGGCACCTTACTCATTTCGCAAGCCAAGGACAAAGAAACATGAGCTTGACAATGCAAATATCTTTATGGGGAGACTGGCCAATACAATTGGAAGCAGAGCTGTTCCAGACAATGAACGACCAGGTCATGATATCTGTAGGGAGACGATGGATGGCACTAGTTGTCTGATCTTTTCTTGGCAGCTTTTTCTGATGGCTCGTTTTGCTTTTGTTTAAGAAAAAAAAATGCATTTTGCCGCTTAAAGTAATTCACATAATTCCTGGGCAGGAAGCTGGGGATGCGCCTGGCAAGAGCTGCCCCTTCTGCTTGCCCTCCTGCTGCGGCTTCCCTGCAGTGATCACGTTATCTTATGGGAGAAGAAATTTCCTATTTTGATTAAAAGGGATCAACAGTTCAACCAAGTTCACTGGACATCTTTTATATTTCTTGTCACAAAGCTTCAAGGAGATGAGGTGGGAAGTGATAGTTAGCTATGTGTTTCTAAGAAGGTTTAACACTGCTTTCCCCTTCACACTCCTTGTCAGGGTCTGGGCGGTGCAGGAAGAGCAGTGGATTAAGAGTCAGGCTGTTGAGTCTGACCCAAATTGGCCTGTTATGAGCTGGTTGTGGTCTGTCCGCCTGTCATGTCCCTCATGTAAAGCAAGAAGGCAGTCCCTCTGTGCCTGGCTGCTCGTGAGGATTAATTGAGTAGATGGACTGGTTCATTCTGCAAGCACTTCCTGGTGATCACCATAGCTAGTGCTGGAGACAGATGGCACGTGGGCCCCGCCCCTATGAAAACATGCCAGGAGCTACAGGTAGAGCCCAAAAGTAAGGAGATTGGATCATTTCATTGTTGACGTGTGTCTGTTTCCTGATTATCAGTTAAATGAAAACAATCAAATTAAAATAATTGTTTTTAAAAACCAGGGCTCTTAGAAACTCCGTGATTACCACAGATGCTAAAGGAACACAGCTGTGATGTGAGCACAGTCTATCACAGGAGAGCATCTGCGTGTGACTTGTGGCTTTGCCTCGGGTGACCTAAGAGCATTTTCTCACTAGTTTAACACGTGCCTTTTTTCCTAATTCATCACTGCCCCCCCAAACACACATACACACACACACACACACACTGAGATACTGTTAACTAGCGGCCAGGGATCTGTAGGAAGATGTTGTGATTTCCCTCAAAGTCACTGACCTTTCTCATCTTTCTACAAAAAGACAAAATTTGAAAACTTTTAGATGGATGGGAAAGACTGAGGGAGACAAAATTGGTACTTACATCACGACAAGCTCAAAGTAGAATTAAATTGTTATAAGGGAAGTTAAATAATAGTTATTACTCAACTGTGAAATAGTCATTCATAGAATAACAAAGACACTATTCAGAAAGAGAGCATAAATTTAAAATCCCTGAAGCAATTTTTAAATGCATATTTTATAGCAGAATAAAAGTTACATTTTTTAATAAATCCCCTGATGACATCATAGTCTTGTTCTAGATGAAATTAACTCGTGCTTTAATGCTTGTATTTCTATTTACTTATTAGTAACCTGGAAATGTTTTACTTGTATTTGTCCTGTATTATGCAGTATTTTACCCTTCAGTTAGCAAATGGAGAGTGTGGATATACTAATATAGCTGTAGGTATATAGTACATGGAATCCTGGTATGCCCCCGTGCTTTTTTTCTAAATGATAAATATAGTGTAAAACCTATTACACTAATAAGGTAATTTATGATGATCATTACTAAGATACTTAAATTAAGATGGACAGTTTAAAACTCTCACTCTCACATTTGTGGAGTTAGCTTTTCATTCTTGCAGGATAAAAGGGGTGTGTCCTGCTGTTGTGGGGAGGTACTGGTCTCAGGGACAGTGCTCTTTTCCAGCCAACCTCTGACCAGGGCTCAGCTCCAAGGTGACAGCAGTATTATCTATACAGCAGGTCACAAACGGGGCCCCAACTGCAGCTGAATGAAATTTGCAAACTGTGCATATTCAGGTTTTCCAAGCATCCGAACCCCACATACACACACTCACGCCACAGAAGTGAGGCCTTATTTTGAGATCAAAGCCACAGAAACTATCACCAAAGCACCAAGTTGTTCAGCATGGATGGAACTGGAGAGCATTATGCTAAGCGAAATAAGCCAGTCAGAGAAAGATAAATATCGTATGATCTCACTCATTTGTGGAATATAATGAACAACATAAACTGATGAACTAAAATAGATCCAGAGGCACAGAAGCATCAAACAGACCATCCAACTTCAGGAGGAAGACACGGGGGTGAGGGAAAGTATGAGAGATCCACCAAAGGACTTGTATGTATGCATATAAGCATAACATTCATGGGTGCAGACACTACGGGGGTGAAGGCATGTGGGGGGGTGGAAATAGAGGGAAGAGGTCAATTGGGGGAAAAGAATTCATATATAATACTTTAAACAATAAGGAATTTTTTTAAACACCAAGTTTTTCACAGTCATTCATTTAGTAACTAATGGCTGGAATCTTGCTGTGAGGCAGAGGCTCTGTGCAAACATAATGATGACTATACAGTCCCTGTCCTCAGAGAGTCCACAGCCAGATGTGCTGAGCACCATCCACCAAGTGATCAGGTCTGGGTGACATGCAGGTGGGCAGGGCTCACTGTGGGGGTCTATGAGCAGGTGAGTCCTCCCTAACAGCAGTATTAGAGAGCAGTTTAACTAATAAGATATAACTGGACTCATAAAAAGGAATAATAACCACAGACAAATCACTAATTATTGGTAATTGGTGAAAATAGCCATGGTGGTCAAACACCATAGGTGGGGTGGAGATTAGGGAGTAAAAAAGAGCTTCATCCCAGCCTCAGTGGCTCTGTGGTTGAGTGCTGGCCTATAAACCAGGCGGTCACAGTTCAATTTCTGGTCAGGACACATGCTCCATTTGCAGTCCTGTCCCCAGTACAGGGTGTGCAGGAGGTAGCCAGTCAATGATTCTCTCTCATCATTGATGTTTCTATCTCTCTATCCCTCTCCCTCTCTGAAATCAACACAAATATATTTTTTAAAGAGCTTCAGTTCTAAGGAGAGTGTTTGGGAAGCCATCTGGGGCATGTTAGAGGATGTGAGGTCCGGGGCCTGACACATTTCAGAATGGTGCTCATTTATCTGCTCTGTCTTCCTGTCTTCTTCCTTCTCGCCTTTCCCAGTTGGGGCCAAGAAGTATAAGAATAGCTTGAGGCAAAGACAGGAAATCAGTTTTACTAAATGCTACTTGCTACCATCTTTCTTCTCATTACCTCCTTATAGAGTTGACCACATGAAGGTAAAATGAGTGTGGGCTGGAGTGGAAATAAAAATCCCAGATGTTTCTTTCCCTTGTCAACTGACAGCAGAGGACATTTTTATTGTAACTTGAACAGAAAAAAAGAAAAAAATAGACATACATATGATTAATAACATGAAGATCAAAGACCCTGGGTATAATAATACCAAATCCTTAAATAAATGGACATCTAAGCTCTAGCAGAATTTATTCAAGAATTTTAGCCTTGACGTCATGTCTCAGCTTGCCTACTTTCACAGTCTTAACCAAAAATAGCCTTCTTTCAGTTAGACATTGGGAAGAAAAACAATATTTCTATATCTCTTAGGAGAATATTGGAAAATGGTAATAGAATTCAGAAACTGAGAAAAATGTCCCACTTTCCTCTATCAAATAGTAAAGTGGAATAGAGATGAACACACAGCCATTTTTAATGGATTGTACCCATCAATTGTGGGCTCATCCTTTCGCCCCCATTTGTAACATTTAACTAAAAGAAAACAAGGAGCTAAATGAAATGTTTAAGATATAAAATGCTTTCGTCAGTTATCTCATTTGCATGAACATTATTTTTCCTTATGAACCCTTGCACCTTTTTTCAGACCCTCCTCTGTCATTGAAACGCAGTGTTTATGGCGCCACATTGTAATTCCTGGTGTCACTTTTCTCTCTCTTCCAGAGCTTCTTTGAAGGGCAGTCAGCGCCATGGGACTCTGCTAAGAAGGATGAGAACAGAATGAAGAACAGATATGGGAATATCATTGCATGTAAGTATTGACGGTGTAATTGTGCTGGGCTGTAACTTCCTCCCGCGCCTGCGAAGATTGACCAGCAGCCTCCAGCAGGGAGAATTTACAGTGCAATTACTGCTCCATCCTGCTGGGACGCTGGCGTTGCGTTCCTATTAAAGGAAGGGGAAAACTACCTAAATTCCCCCACTATGTCAGCGCGTCTTGCTATGGGGCTAGTTTCACTGTGAGATTTAAGGTTTGGGGAACATCGGTAATGTTCAAATGCTGAGAAAGAAAACGCGTTTTCGGAGTAAACACATAACGGTCCTAATGGTACCCAGCTGCTGCGTGGGAACGATTAGAAATAATGACGCCCCAGCGCGCCTCGCCGCCAGGAGCTCCGAGTTCCGCGCAAACATTAACTCATTAATCCTCTGGACACTTGGGTTAGGTAGGTCAGTAATGGCCCCGTTTTAAGGACAGGAAACTGAAACGCAGAAGTTAAATGATAGTCCCCGTATCGCAACACTCATTAGCCAAAGAGCGAGGATTCTATCTCGGAAATTCCCAGTTCCTGTGCAACTGAATGTTACCCATCCATAATGCCCCGGACGGGTTTTAAATTGAGCCCAACCTCATTAATGTTCCGTAACGATGCCGGGACACGTGGTAGATGGATGAGCCTCCTTCTCCCAGGGCTGAAGCCATCCATCCCCTGCGTTAAACTACTCTAAATCACACCGTCTGCACCAAGTGTGCACAAGGTACTCACAGAATTAGTACTATTTCTAAATAGACGTAAATAAAAAAAAAAACAAAAAAGCAGGAATAGACCCAGAGAGCATCTAGCTCCTCGTGTCCTATTACTTACAAAAGAACAAATTTGAAAGGTTTGCGTAGTCCAGGGGAGCAATATGTTAGCTCTATTGATTATGGAAGTGCAATTAAGCTTTACTTGCCTGTGTTCACATTGCTTAGTAGGACAGTAGAGATTCGGTGGCAGCACAGCAAATGGAATGTTCTGGGATTGTGGAAATGGCCTGTCTGTGCTCTCCCGTGCGGTCACCACTCGCCCGGTGAGGGCTTGAAATGTGGCTGGTGCAACCGAGGAACTCCTCTCTCAGCATCTTTCCGGGTTCAGCCCATTGTCATTAGCCACAGTCATCAGGCTGCACATTACATGTCTAGAGTTATCCATCCCCATAACTGTAACTTTGTACCCTTGACCAACATCTCCACATTTCCCCCACTCCCAGCCCCTGGTGACCACTGTTCTGCTCTCTGCTTCTATGTATTCTTTGTAGATTATACATATGAGATCGTGCGCTTGTTCTTTGTGATGCCCATTTTATTTCACTTCACATAAGGCCTTCCTGGTTTATCTGTGTTGTTTCCAATGGTTATCTTTTTTTCTAGTGTCTGTTTTCTAAAGTCCCTTTAGAGCTGTCTGTGGTCATGAGTATGATTCCAGGTAAGGCTCTGTGCTGGCATGTCCTGAGATACCACTTAGACCACCTGCCAAGCCACTATGCATACTTTCAAAATAGGGGCTCCAAATGCTTAGATACTACTGTTAACCCATCCCAGCTAACTAGGATGAGTTCACTACCGCATATGGCCGCCAAAATACCACTACTGTTGGCTTAAATACCAGAACTTCCGGGCACCAGCCCTTGTCCACTCTCCATGCTGAACTCGCAGGCTGAGTTATTCACTAAGGGGGTTTCCCAGTCAGGTGTGAGCTACCCAGGTCCATCTGATGAGGCCACTGCAGTGCCGAGGGCACTCTCTGAGAACCATCATTTATCTGAGACTGTCTGTGTGTCTTTACTTATGGCAGTGTGAAATCATCTTCAGAATTGTTAAGGCTGTGGAAGGATTTGAGGAATAAAAAGAGTCAAAGTATGTATCTCAATCATGCTTATCTGTATACCATATTGGCTGCTCATAGAGAAGAACACTGTTACCACCTCCCACACAGGCACACACACAAAAGTATGTAATTGTGGGAAGATGATTTCATTAACTGGGGAGCCTGCTGCAGAGCACCTAGGCCTTGGGAATAATACCACTCACTAGGATGAGCAATGGGAGGATTCCGTCAACACATCTTAGAGATTCTCATTAGTGCTTTTCTGAGAATATAAGAAGTACTAGTAATGATCACATTCATTGTTTTTGCAAACGTGTTTGAATCTAAAATGCTTTTAATGATGCTTTAAAAGTGTTTATTGCTTTTGCTCTTAAGTAAGTTAAACTTTTGCTTATTTACACAATAAATGTGCTGAGCTAGCCCTTTCCAAATACAGACTAATACCCAGTTCACCATTAGTATACCACACACATAAGCATAGCCCTCCTGATACTCCCTTAATTATAATTAAGTCGGAGCTTAAGACATATAGCAAATCTCCCAGCTAATGGCAGCCCCTCACATCCAGGGGTCCTCTTTTCTGGGGTCAGGAATTAGAGGTCATAGCCGGAACCTACAGGCCCTTCCAAGGCTCCCTCCTACTTCCTGTGGTCCAGTCAACAAAGACATATTGATCTGACATGTGCCAGGCTCCATGCCAAGCCAAAGGAATTCTTTCAGCAGATATTTATTGAGTGCTTGTTACATGCCAGGCACTGCCCTAGGTGTCAAAGAGAGAGCAGGAAACAAAACAGAATTCTTCACCCACATAGCACTGAACATGCCTATGGGGCAGACAGAGAAACAACCCCTAAGTAACCTATATAATGTGTATATTAGAAAGTCAGACATGTAACAAAAATACAGCCTTGTGGTCAATGCAGTCCCTGAGAGGAGAAGATACAGGCAGTACGTGATGCAAGTGAGGAAGGGAGCCAAGCCCGTCCAGGCAGAGACCCCAAAGGGGTGGTTCACCTCAACTTGGTGTTGGGGCCAACAAGGAGCCATCATGTCACTGGAGCCAAGTGAGCTAGACTGAGGGAGAGGTGGGAGGTGGGAAGTGTGAATATGCTGGGTGACCGCAGTGAGCCCCAACAGACACAGCCCCCCGCCCCCCACCCTCAGGAAACTGCCATTCCTACAGGTGGGAGGAGAAAATTAAATGATTTTACAAATGAACTATGTGATTATACAAATAAGTGAAATCAAGGGCCACAAAGAGAGGTACATGGTACTGTGAAGCCCATAGTGGGACGTAGACTTGTTCAGGAAGTGCGAGAAGGCTTCCACCACTTCCACTGAGAGCAGACCAGACCCTTCGTGTGAGGGAACTGTTGTGTTTGAGGACCGGAAGGAAGATCAGATGGTGGCTGGAGCTGGGAGGGGTGAGAGTGGACAAGTGGCCAGAAAGCAAGGAAAGCGGATGTCAGACCTGCAGGGCCTTCCAGGGGGAGATTAGGGATGTTAGTATTATGATAAGAATGTGGAAAACCTCATTAAAGGCTTTTTTTAGGAGAAGGGGTGAGGTTAATTAAGTTTGCCTTTGGCAGACTTAACCTAACTATAATGTAAAATAATTAAATGGAAGTGGACACTTATTGAGATTCAGTAACCCAGGAGGGAAGCAATGATAATGTGGACTAGAAAGAGGAGAAGTAGATGGATTCAAGAGACATAATTCGTCAAACTGAATGGATAGCATGTAGGGTAGGGAAGTCAAGAGCCAGAGGTGACTCCTATGTTCCTGGTTTGCAGGAGAATGGATTAGTGGGTGGATAGAAGGACAGTTGGGAGGATGGACAAATGGAAGGACGACTGTTTTCTCAGATGGGAGGGGAGCTCAGGCGGGCATGATGTTGGTGGCAGCAGGGAAAATGTATTAGTTGAATCTGAGGACATATTGAGATGCCTTTGAAAGATTTAGATGAAATACCAAGTAGGTGGTTATATAAACTGCTCTGAAACCCCTAAGAGAAACGTCTGAGCTTGAATACAAATTAATGAATCTTGGGTATTCAGGTGGAAGTTGAAGCCATTGGCATGGGAAGATGTGTGGAAGGAGCATGGAGGGCATTGAGAGTCTAGAGGGGCTTTAATAATGAAAAATACTCAGACAAAGCCATATAACAAAGGAGCACTGCACCATGGAGCAAAGGGCATGCCACAATGTCCTACAGGAGATGTAGTGCAGAGAAGACTGTGATATAGCCACTGGAGCAGATAGTTCATAAACATAGCAAAAGCTGCTATGAATGGAGTGGGTGAAAGTTGAGGTCAGTGAGTGAAGAGAGAGGATAGACAGCTTTATGAAGGGGAAGAGAGGGGGTCCCTTCTGAGTTTGGTCTCCATTTTGATTGGGTTACTAATGCCCTTTTATCTACTTTCCCAGCTAATTGTGACATGGCCAGGAAGAGAGGGAAAGCTGTGACCCAATCTGTCCACCTCATTCTCTCAACCAATCTTGAGGGCCCCTGCTGAAGACTGCTCTTCCAGGGTTTAATTTTAATAGCCACGTGCTTCTCTCTGCTACATGCAGGACTCCTACAGTGTCACTTTTGAGGACTCTACCCCTGTCATGGCCTGTCTTTGCTATAAAGGCAGGTGAAGGGAGGATCAGGGAACTAGAGTTTAGATACATAAAAATGGACTAGCAGGGAGAGCTTTGGGGGAGGAAAATTCAGGTGGATGAGAGTAAGGGAGAAACAGATTGATTGTTACACAGGGTTTAAGAAGGCAAAATGCAAATCTAGAAAAATCAGGCAAAATACAAGATAGGGGTCCTGCCAATATTCTGAAAAATAATGAATATGAATCCCTGAAAATGTCTAAATAAAAAAAAGAAACAAGGCAAGATGAAATTAGTAACACCTAAAACCAAGACTGAAGCTTAACACTAGTCACCCACCACTACACTCAGCGTTTCCTTGTTTGCCTCATGCTCAGAACCTTCGTGGCCTGAGCACCCAGGTGGGCACAAGCAGGGACAACAGGCTGGAGTCAGGCTCACCGAGGGGTGAGGCACCAGGCAATTCCTTAAGGTACTTGCTTTTCTGCAAGAATATAACCACAGAAAGAGCAAAACCATTATTTGAAGATCAATCACAATTAAAATTAATTTCCAGTC